GGTCCGCTGGTAGGCGCTACACTTTGTGAATAAAAGTATCATTCTTCTTTACCAAAACTTTGTGACTTACACAAAGAGCAAACAGATGGCACACTGAACCGACGCGGGGTTTAAAACCAATCCTCAGTGGATGGCTTACACAAGGTCGTGTCAAAAGAAGAGTGTGCGATCACCGGGAGGGGTTTATTTGAGATCCGACGTTTCGGGTAGTTTACTCGTCTACCCATCTTCAGGGACTAGGAGGTCCTGTGCACAGCACTCCTTATTATGGCGCCCTTTGTCCAATGCGTGATCCGCCAATGCCGCCTGTGTGGCTGCATCCAACCCGCATGTCACCGTGACCTGAATCGCCCCCGTCGGCCGCGGTGATGACTGACGGCCCCGATTGTCCCGCGCCGTGACTGTCCCCCGCTAAGAAGGTTCGTAAAGTCAGATAAGGGGGAGGCAAATTGATGTGGCGGTTGACAGAGCGGTCGGTGGGCATCCAGGCTTCTTGCACTTGCCTTGCTGTGTGATCGCTGCCCCGGCCCACAATCTCAACGGCGTCAAAGTTGAAGATGTGTCCCATTTGCGCGGCATGGGTTGCTGCCTCCGACTTTGGGTCCAACCTTCGCACGGCCAACTTATGCTCGTCCATTCGCGTTTGCAGCCGTCGGCCGGTTTCCCCAACGTAGTTGCAACTTCCGCAGCTGCATTGAAGTCGGTAGACAACGGCCGACATCTCCTGCTTAGGGATCGGATCTTTCGGCCGCATCACTTGCCGGCGGATTGTTGAGTCAGGCCTGTGGGCAACACCTATTCCGAGTGGCACGAGTGATCGAGCCACGACTTCGGAGACCCCTTTAATGTACGGAATGCTCCGCCACGAGTTTGGCTGACTATGCTCCTCGTTCCGTTTCTTTGGCTGCCTCCGGCTTTGTTTAATGAATGCTCGCGGATAGCCATTGGCTCTGAAAAGTTCTCGGAGGAGCTTTATCTCATTCAGTTTGGCGGCTGGCGTGCTGCAATGAGTTTCCACCCGTCGGTACAGCGTGCGGACACAGCTTCGTTTGTGTTGTGGCGGGTGGTTGCTGTTGTAGCTGAGAATTTGCAGCGTGTTCGTCGGTTTTCTGTAGACCGACGTCGCTAGTTCGCCATTTGGTTGGCGGCAGACGAGAACATCCAAGAATGGGAGTTTGTCCTCGACTTCCTCTTCCATCGTGAACTGTAGATCGGGCATGATTGAGTTCAGTACTTCCGCATAGTAGTTGATTTTATCCTGGTCTATGATCATGAAGGTGTCATCAACGTAGCGTGCCCAGAACTTGGGTTTGTACTCCTCAAATAGTCGTCTCTCGAGTTTTTGTAGAACCGCCTCGGCAATGAGTCCGGAGATTGGTGAACCCATTGGAGTGCCCTTGATCTACTCGTATGTGGTCCCTTCGAAGGTAAAGAATGTTTTGAGGCAGTGCCCCATGAGTTCTATGAGATCCTGAGCTGTGGGCTGGCCATCGCCCCCGTCGTAATTTTGACGTAGCAGGTCACTGAGCGTTTCGACCGCAAGGGCCTGTTGTATGGACGTGAAGAGTGAGACGACGTCAAAAGACACCATCCTTTCATTCGGTTTGATCGTGACTACCCTTATTTTGTCAAGGAATTGTTCTGCTGAGTGCACTGTTGTTTGTGAGCCTGCAGTTAGGAATCTTAGCTTCTGAAATAGCCAGTTTGCAAGCCCGTATGTGGGTGTGCCTAGGAGCGAGACGATAGGACGAAGGGGAACATCTGGCTTGTGTACTTTTGGGAGACCATAGAATCTCGCCATAGCGGTTTCTGCGGGCTTTGCCATATACCAGTCTTTGACGGTGATGACCTTGTCCTTTTTTAGTCGAGCCAGAATTCTGTTAACCTTTGCCACTAGGGACTTTAGACTGGCGGCGTCGCTGACTTGGTAGGACTCTCGATCGTTGAGGAGCAGGAGGGCTTTGCGTCGGTAGTCCACCTTGTCGAGGATGACGGTTGACCGGCCTTTGTCAGCAGACAGAATAACTATTTCGGTGTCCGCTTTCAGCTCCCTTAGGGCCTTTTGTTCATCTCTTATCAGGGAATGGGTTTTCCGGTGCGACATGAGGAGTGAAGAGACTTGATGTCGAAGGAGGTCCTTTACGTCGTCTGTGGCGCCGGTTTGACGAAGCACTGATTCGAAAGAAGCAATGAAGGTGACCGGGTCGGCGTCAGTTGTGTTAAAACCAGATCCATGTTGTAGAACTTTTGTTTGGGCCACAGTAAGTTGTTTTGACGAGAGGTTATGTACTATAGTTTGTTCGGTTTCCTGGTCTTGTGCGGTCTGCAGTGTCATGAACTTTATCGATAAATCCGCATCTCTGTTAGCATGTTTCCTTCCTCCCAATGCTAGTAATGTGTTCTCCAATGAGGCGGCAGTCGATTCCCCACACCGGCGTGTAACAAGCATTCGGTAGTTTTCAGCACTGTGTGCGTATTTCTTAAGTCGCAGTCCCTGAAGATGGGTAGACGAGTAAACTACCCGAAACGTCGGATCTAAAATAAACCCCTCCCGGTGAACGCCCACTTTTCTTTTGATATGCCACCTGGAAATCGGATTTTCACTACTATTGATGTGAATTACGGGCGCGAAGCGCTTCAAGTGGCTCGTCGTTGGGAGAAAACTGTGTGCGTATTTCTTAAGTCGCAGGTGACAATCTTGTATGAGCACCCTTGTCATTCGCCGACTATGGCGGATTACCGTTTGTTTAGCCAATTTCGTGTTGACTGGAGGCTTGTAGGAGAGGCATTCTGGCATAACATAGTTGGCAAGGCATCTGTGAAGGAAGTGGAGCTGTGCATAGGTCGAGACCTGTCGGAGGACATTTTTTTTCCAACGACGAACCAGTTGAAGCGCTTCGCGCCCGTAATTGAATGTTGTGTGGTCGACAAGATAAAGATTCCCAATCAAAGGTCAGGGAAGACGGTTTGAGTTGGACAACCTTTACTGCCTGAGGAAGTGCGTACACAAGGGCTCTGTAGGCAGTCGCCGCGAGCGCGCTCCAATCAAGCTGTTGTCTGTGTCCGCCTTTGGGGGTACTGTGGCAGTCCGCGTTTCCTCACCCTCTGCCTTTGTCACGCTGCCGTCCTGTTCGCCTCACACTCCTTGTCGATACGCTGCTGGGACGCGCGAGTGCTCGAAGCCAATCAACGCTGTCTCCACTCTGATTGGCTGGCGACTTGGAAACAACGAATGGCGCACACACGCGCTGACAACACCCCGAAGGCGGACACAGACAACAGCTTGATTGGAGCGTGCTCGCGGCGACTGTCTGCAGAGCCATTGTGTACGCACTTCCTCAGGCAGTAAAGGTTGTCCAACTCAAACCGTCTTCCCTGACTTTTGATAGGGAATCTTTATCTTGTCGACCACACAACATTCGACAAGCACACGCCCAGCATCACCAGGGCAGACATCCGATTGTCACAGTGGCAGGCAACAGAGTGTCTTGGGCGACGGCGTCTGGGTCGGCCTTGAAGTTGAGTGGCCGAGAACCAGACCGTCACTAGTTTGCTTTTGCAAGCAAGCGCAAGAGACGCAGTATTGCCTCAGGTGATCGGAGTAGGATCTCCACTGCGCTTTTGACTGAAGCAGACGAGGTTTGATCAGAGTGTCTTCTCATCCCCCACATTACCACAGAAATTGTGCCTACCGGTGTCTCGATGGTCAACCCCTATCGGTCCGCTGGTAGGCGCTACACTTTGTGAATAAAAGTATCATTCTTCTTTACCAAAACTTTGTGACTTACACAAAGAGCAAACAGATGGCACACTGAACCGACGCGGGGTTTAAAACCAATCCTCAGTGGATGGCTTACACATAGTCGTGTGTTTTTGTGTCCTAAGCAGACCCTTTTTCCTGCTGAGTTGACTAAAAACTTGTTGTCTTAGTGCGGTTTTTGGGGCCAATATATCCGTTGTCTTTATGTGGTAAAAGCACAACTCTCAAAATTAAATCGATACGTAAAGCTCCTCGGTTGAAACGATGGCCTCGCAACGTCTGATCACATTTGTTGCGCGATTTTCATCTCCGCGAATTCGTTCCGCGCGCCCTGTCTCGGACCTTCTGCGTCTCTGTTCAACCAGCAAGGTTTCTGGAAAATGACTGATCTGACGGGTGTGTAAGAGATACTCTCACGTGCTAGAGGATAAACAGTATGGGTGGACGCCGTATAAACAGATCGTAGGTCTTCCGCTTGGTCACTGCTCTCCGGGTTCAAAAAAGGAAGGAAGTTGGTATTTGAAACATTCTGGCAGACCTTTTGAGCCCGGGATATCACCTAATTTTTCGGCATCATTAAATGTGAAATGCTCCTGCAAATTCAGACGACCTCGAATTACATTGTCTTGTACGTCCAGTTCACGACGGCGGTGATGTTGATGATGCAGCTGGTGGGGAGGAGGAGGAGGAGGAGGATGCCAGAGGGGAGCTCACCGGTCGAGTTACTAGACACGCCCGTTATACCTTGGGGCTCAATTTCGAGCCCTGTCAGCAGCTGCACAGGACAGCGGGTTCATAGCTCAATGGCAAGGGCTTTGCACTTCTAACCAGCAGATCGAGGGGTCAAGCCTCAGAGGTCGCAAAACCTGCAAGTGTGCGTGGCTGGCCGATGATGGCCAATAACCTAGAAACGGCCGTCCCCAAGTCCTTTATTTTTGTCGGTAATGTTAGAAAAAACTCACTTGACTAAAGTAAAAAAAACAGCGGAACCGTCGCCTGTCGACCATCACTGGCTACTTTCCCGGAGCAATACACAATAACAGAGCATCAGACTTAAGTTTCTCTATTCCGCGAGACGCCACATTGCATTTACTCGACCGGTCCGGTGTAGTTTTAGTCAAGTAAATAGTCATACAAGCAGGAATTTTTGCCAGCAAGTAGGCGGATATCATATGTACACCTGTAAGTTTTATGCGGTTTTTCGATAAAATATTTCAGCTGGGTTTTATGGAGTTTCCACAAAAATAGGTCAGCAGGTTCTCTTCAGCCAGATCATAAAATTAGTCCCCAATTGACTTGTAATTTTAATTATTCCGTTGGCATTCCGGATGGAACTTAATTCCTATGATTTTTTCGTCCAAGTAATACTTTTTATTCTTCCGGAGATATACTTACGAAAGGGCCTATCTTACCGAATTTTAAAATAGACTTGTTGCCTAGCTATTGTTCTGGCATGCCTTTTACGAAGTAAAATATTTCACACAAAAATATTAAGTAAAGCCACGCAGAATGTTATCAAGTACATCAACCAACCATTTTGCAATAATGTGGTAAAGCACATGGCAAGGATTAAATATGTAAGCTTACTGAGAAAATAGAGCCCAGATACTCCTAAAATACAGACAGGATGTTAGCGGTGGTTTTATCAGTAGGGAAGAAAGACGCAACAATTACCAGAATCTGTGAAAGCACGCAGAAAACTCGAATTTTTTGTCACATGTTTGGTTTATTACTCCGGCCAGGTGAAGGATCAGACCACGAAATCTAAAAGGGGTAAATTAGACGAGTGCAGACGGATTAAAGAAGGTCGGAGTGGGTAGGATTGTATGCGGCAGGCGAAATTAACCCTTGCGTAGTCTTCTCCATAAATCTAATCTTTAAACTTGCCCAGCTTTAGACCTAACCTTAATCTAATTCTTAAATTAAATTCGACTGAAACACAACCCGGTACAAAATGCCTACCAAAATCAAATAAGTATGCATACTATGGTAACAAAACATGGACTCATAGGTATTTTGGCAGATTTTGAATAATTCATATTGACCCAACTGTGAAAAACTCGGCGCCTCGGTGGGATTCGAACCCAGGCAGTAAGGAGAAGGCCTTAGTACGGCCAACGCTACTAGACAGCAGAATCCAGTACGACAGCTATCAAACATAAAACCTCTCGTTAGTGGGCAGAGTTAGCTGTTTGCCAACGCATAGTATGCTGTCGTCCGGCGGGCCATCGCAGCTCAAGTGGTTAGAGCGTTGGCTGTACTAAAGCCTTCTCCTTACTGCGTGGGTTCCAATCCCACCGAGGCGCCGAGTTTTTCACAGGTGGGTCAATATGAAAACATGGACTATCATATTTGAGACGGAGGAGTTGGCCACGCAGGGTGCGCACAGGGGAACACTTCCCAACACCAGGGTCAGCGCGTCAGATGGTCGAGCAATCATTACACCAACATCCAACGCACGTGATGAAATTGCAGCAATTAACGACGCGAATGTCGGCCATCACACCACGTGCAACGATCCCTGATGAAGGCAGGAGGCGTGAATATTCATAGGTATGCGGTAGCATGGCTACTGCATTCTATAAATACTGCAGCCCCTTATGCATGAACCATCCGTATCTGCTTTGTCTCTGATGATGGATTCGAGCAGAAATCCGAAACATCAGGCTAATAAAACTCTTGTCCCAGCGATCGTGTCTCCTTCAAAACATGGACTAGCATATTCGATCGTTTCCAGTCAAATTGCATATAATTAGTACTAGACAAATTAATGAATCAGACTTTTTTCATCGTCGGATGACAACGTGACCTTGAAGTCCTAAGACTACATAGATAAATATCAAACTTGACAGGCAAGGAGTGCTGTTTTCTAGGACATGTTGCCATTTGAGATTCCTTTGCGTATCTCCAGTCTTGGCTTCCTGTTTCTTCCTTGGATTTCGTCGGGTCAGCCATGGGAGGCTCGACTTAAAATCACATTTGCCCATGAAGGCAAGCTCAGGGGTTTTGTGTATCTTCAAAATCTGAATTGCACCATTTCGATCAAACTTCCAAAGTTTATCCTCGACTGACTTTCGAAATTAATCTATCGTCCGGCAGCGCTGTTCTAAAGCACCGAAAGTGGCAGTTAACGACTGCAGAAAACAAGTAGTAAAGTTCTACCGCTCCTGTCGGGTTAGAATTGGGAGGCGGACTGTAGAGCTTGTCAAAAGTAAATTGCAAATCTGGTCTACTGGACATTCTGAGGTTGCAGACCAATTTTGAATCGAGCCGTAGCATTTCACTCATTGATTTATTGAGTGTCAAGTCGGTAGTACTTTTTGACGTACCACTTTAGGTTCTTCTGAGTTGTTATTTGTTTGTTTTTTTGGTTATTTTTCCACCACGTAGGAACTTTGCACATTTCGCTTTGTCGGTCCCAGATTTATGATCGTTGTGTATGGCCTGAGAGTCAGTTTATTAGACGGTGAAGCTGAGGTCTCATCACCCCGGAGATCCGTCGCTGATTACGCAAACATATCTCTGCTGCCGACATCTTAGCAATGGAGAGACAAATAAGAGTTAAGAAGGTAGAA